ATTAAATTTCGTTTCCCTTCAGCAATCAACCAACTGTGGAAAATTTTCAGCTGACTATTCCATGTGGCTTTCATATGGTTCTACTGGCTGTTCATATTAGCTTCACATCAAGAAAGAGAATTTTAGATTCATTTTCCATTCCGGGAGTGTGTTTTGTGGCTGTATGGTAGCTGTTAAATAACTGTAAGCCCTCAAAAATGTCATAATTATTGTTATTTATAGTCAAAATGTTGTCCACATACCTTGTTTAGAGTCGAACACCATCAAAAGTCAAATATGATGGACTGTTCATGTGACTTGCCATGAAACAGTCTGCTAGTGGTGGATTCAAAGGAAATCCCACTACAATCCCATACTTTTGTGTGCAAGTGTTGTCACTGAAATTATACTAGGAGTACACCTTAGGAGTACACCTTATTATTAATATTGTTTCCTTTAGTTCCTAGAGACCCATAGGGCTTCAGCCGCACATCTCCATTGAGTTCAGTTCTCCGCCAACGTTTTCACATAGCTCTACGTCTACCCAAATGCTTTCATTTCCTCTTCGCGTGATCCCCTCCATGCCACCCTCAGACTGATGACCAACTCGCCGCTTCCTGTCAGGCCCGGTTCCATTTGAGCGATTGCCTAGTGTGTGATGTCACTTGATGGTTTCCTCAGAGTATGGCCAATCCACGTCCATTTCTTCCAGCATAATTGTGGCACAGTCGGTTCTTGCTGGGTTACTTCGTTCCCAGAGATCCCTGTTGCTCATCTTTTCTGGCCGGCCATCTGATCTTGAGCAAAACACCTGTTGATTAAAGTCTGTAGCTTGTTCGAAGTGCCCTTTGTGACGCGTCAATTGTCTGATCCGTAAAGTAGCACTGACTTCACATTGGAGTTCAAAATCCGGATCTTATTTTCATTTTCATGCTGAGTGCTGCTGACCTCCACACATACTTAAGAGTAATGAAAGCTTGTCTTGCTCTTCCGATTCTGGCTTTGATATCCTCATCATTTCCGCCCGCTGTAGTTGAAACGATGCTTCCCAGGTAGCTAGGGATGGAGGTTGTTTCTTTTAGGTTCCTTCCATTTGTGCTGACTGTCGTCTGGTTGTTGTTGCTGTTGGTGTTGGCCAGGAATCTTCATCACCTCTGTTTTATCTACATTCGCTTGAAGTCCTATCTTTGATGCTTCTTCTGCCAACTTGTTGCTTTTCACTTGCATATCTTCTAGTTTGTGGGAAATCAGCGAAGTCCAGATCCTCCAAGTATTTTGTGTGGGTCCATTTTATGCCTGTTTCCTCATTGCCCGTTATCTGCCGCATTATCCAGTCTACCGAAATCAGGAAAATCACTGAAGATAGTAGGTAGCCTTGTCTTACTCCAGTCTTCGCTTTGAAGGATTCCATGAGTTTCCCGTTGTATATTACTTGACATGCGGCATTGCCAAGCAACTGTTGTATGAGATATATAATTGTTGGCGGCACCCATTGGTAGTAGCGAAGTAGTTGCCAATTCACCTCTCGGTCGACGCTGTCGAATCACCAATCATACCTCAACAAAAGTTCATTTAAATATGCAATTGGTATTCCAATATTTAACTGGTTTTCATGGATGTATTTGCATTTAAAACAAGCAGCTTTCGTAAGTGAGTCATTGGTGCAAAGTGATTCATTGTCAAGTTACAGCATACTTTTGTTAGTAAAGTTCATACCTTGTATGCCTTAAAATATCAACAAAATGATGTGACATAACTTAACAGACGTATGCTGGAAACCTGCTTAAATCACTGAGCTGCCGAAATCGCCACCACATCACCAACACAATGCATCATCATATTTTCTCTAATTCTTATTGTTTTAAGTATTCACTTATGTCCTCGAGTCTCAAAGCTTACTAATGCATATTTTCAATTGACTTTCGAAATACCGGTGAGCGTATCACGGGAACGAGGGAAATATATTATAAAGCGTTAGTCTGTTTTCCAGATTGAACAACACTGCGTTACACGATACACATTAAACGGCTATTTTACTTGTAGATCCTGGATGAAGAAGGAATATTAGGCGATAGATTCTTTACACTGCGTAACATTCTATCCAGAACAAAGCTATTGTCATTATTATTAGATATATCTCAAAAGAGAAACGAAAATATTTAGGAACTAAAGATATTCTTCACAGTATCTCTTCGATCCGATAGGACTGACGAGAAAAGTTTCCAGCTCGTGAAATTCCATCATTTTCTTAGTTACACCACAATTTTCACTACATATTGAGTCACAATGCACCGCAAGAAGACTAGTCAATGTATAAAAGTCACGCAAGATTTTGAGTACAAAGTAACTATATTCTCTTGTCTGTTAATGTACCTTGAGAACACCGGCTTCCCAAATATCCGATTTATATCTTGTTGATTAAAATCAATAATTCTTTTGTTAGTAAGAATCCCTGAGACAAGGTTTCTGCATTATTACCCCCCGTTGAGAGAACGCTTAGCAACTTGGGAAGATCCTATGTTCCCGTTGGATTTTCAATACAATTCAACCACTATTCTAGTCAAAGATCTTATCACTCTACCATTTAAGACGAGGTGTGGTATCATGTAGGCTTGTAATGCCTACTTTTGAGTGTTCACTATGGTGTAACAAGTGTTACATGATTAACAATTACTAGTGATGACAGAATTCTATCAGTCAAGTTTGCGCTGTAGTCAAATAACTTAGAGTCTTACGACTGCGGTGCATTTAATTATAATTTGACAGATGAGTTATGAAACTTCGGTCATGGCTTTCCTACTGATCACCTACATCCATATTATATTAGTTTAAAAAGTGCACCATTATAACTATTTCACTGCACTTGTGCTGACAGAATTTAGCACCACAAAAGATTGAACCCATACAACTGGTGACACCCCAGTAACCATTCAGTGTAAAACAATATTTTGTGATGATGAATGACAGCCGTTTAGTACTGTAATAAACTGTCAAATACCATGAATATTAAAAATTTTATTTCATACACATTAGTCTACTTAAAGAAACGAAGTCTTCTCAGTTAAGTGATGACATAAAATCCATAACATTCGCCCTCACTGCATAAAAATCGAACTGTAGGAAACTGCCACAGCCAGAAATATTAGTCTTGTGCATAGTATAAGATCCACTAATTATGCCCCCCCCCCTCGAGTTTACTGAGTAGCCTAACTATGAAAAAAATTGTAAACATTACAATCAACATTCACTTCTCCCACCCCGTATAAAAACTGATCTACTTATCGGACAGTTTTCCTCACCCATCGGTTTGAGGTAGGAAACTGTCAAAAGCAGAAATATTAGTCTTATAAGCAGTATTAGATTTATGACTTATGCACAATCTTGAGTATACCTACAATTGTTCAAATAGAATATTTTATTCATGAACTATTTCTTAAGAAAATATCTCTTGTTTGTTTTGTATATTAACCAGGGAAATGGAGAAATGATAATTTGGGAAATAGGTTGCACTAGATAACAAATGATAATCACTATCAATACAAAAGATTCAGTATATCATTTAACACAGAAAATAATGTTATTGTTATTTGTTATTCAAATTTATTCGTGATATTATCGCGGAGAAATAAAAGCAATGTTCTTCTGCTTAATTCAATAATTCTGATTGTAACAGTGAGAATATATTATTTAGCAAAGAAACTCTCAGTGAATCCAATACCAGGCTGTACACTCCAATGTACTCTTATCCAAAGAATCTCTAGATCTTGGAAAAGGATATAAAATTTTAAAAAAATGAATAGAATAAGAGTATTATCAAACAGGTTGAGAAGTTTGACACAATAGGTTTTCACATTACGTAAAAACACACTGAGTGAAAATTACCAACAGGACAAGTGAAATAATTCTGAAAACTGTTCAAAATAATAATAATGATAATAATAGCAGGCGTAATGTAACGGGAGAGGATAAAAGACTTACTAACAGATCTTTATTAAGGAAAAACACATCATATATATATACATATATTCTATACCATGTTAAAGTTCCTCTAGGTCAGGGGAGAATAAATTGTTCTGATTGGTCTGCAGTTGACCCAAGGTGAAACAAGCTGTCCAGTCAAATTATTACTTGTCCACAACGCAGAATGAATCTAGATTTGGGGAATGAACACTTCTACCTCTGCAACCAGTGACTTATGATGTCAATTTCAGTTTTGACTGCTTCCTATCAATCTGCATTGGGCTACCGTAATACCAGGAGAAGAGTAAGCAGATTAAATAAACAAGATGAAATTAAATTGATAGATATTTCTGTCCTCTCTTTCCATTCCTAGACTATGGTTATGCACACATTTTTTGAACACAAAGGTTTGATTTGAATTCATCAATAGACAAGGCCTCCACTAGTCTTAGAAGTTTGTAACGGAGAACTTTGCTTAGAATTGGTGAACTGATCGTAGCAATCAGGAACTGATGATTTGAATTGCTAGAATTCCTGTGGGGATGTGAGTATAGGATAAGAAGTCAGATAAAATAAGTTTTTGAATAATACTTACACATTCATTCTGTTGACTTTGAATACAGTGACGCAGAACTTATTACCCGGTGATACAGCTTATAGCTGGGTTTTAAAAAGAACAGGAGAGTGATTAATCATACACTTATGATGATTAATCGGAAATCTCTTTTGGATGCTCCCAGCCCGAGACTGTCAAGACATTTTAGAGTAGTAGGTCGAGAGTGTAGCGGTAAATAATTCCCCAAAATTATTGACCACAGCAATCACTCATTGGATGCTGACCACCACTGTTTAAGTCGACTTGTTTAGCTGAAGGCTTCCGGTCAAGCATCCCCGCCATTTGGTACCTGGTCGTGTCACGTGCACGATCACTAGCTAGCTAAGCGTTCGTCTAACGGCTGGTTTTGGTTCCTAAATACATCTCTTCGTTTGGACGACCAATTATTGGCTTTTGCTTTGTCTTTGGTACGCGAGAATAAATTAATTAGAAGTTGTTGAACGAGATATCACGTCAAACCTTTAATATCTCTCAACCTCTAAACTGGTGAGCCCAACCGCGAACTTCATCCACGAAAAATCCGCAGATAACCCCGGTGAGTTCGTTCCATTTTGTATTTGTTCTTGTACCATATATTATTCGATATAATTTTCGTCATGAGTGATCTTAGTCCCAAGGTCATCCGTATCCGCTCAACTCCTAAAACCATTCAGCTCGTACCATACTGGCCAGATAATGCTGAAACGTGGTTTCTGCTAGCTGAAGCAGATTTTTGTGAGCATGGGATAACTGATCAACGTTCACAGTTACTTGCAGTTATTCACGCCCTACCGCGGGAATTCAGCAAGTACGTAACATCACAGATGTTGAGTCCCGAGGTAAGTAACTCGTACGAGTTGCTGAAAGCATCCCTCCTCAGGAGAAACGCTCTCACGGACAGACAACGTCTAGATGAATTATTTCGTAACATCGAGTTAGGAGATCAGTCAGCCGTGAGCATGCTGACAAGAATGAAACAAGTCGTCGGCCAATGTCAGTTCGACGAAGGACTGTTTAGAGAACTCTTCTTAACCAAGTTGCCACAATCTGTACAGACCGTACTTGTGACACTTGAGGGTACTGTAATAGAGAACTTAGCTATTACTGCAGATAAGATTCTAGAAATAACTAAACGGTCTGTCCCCGAAATATGCTCAATGACTAAGCAGACTTCGAGTGAGGATCCTGCAATGACAGAGTTATGCAACTCCCTTCAGCAGATGTTTAGGTCAAACATGCATTCTAAATCCTCCAACCGTCGTCCTAAATCTCCTCAACGCAGGAACTCGCGTGGTCGATCTAAGTCCAAACCACGTTCACTGAAAAACCCTGACTGGTGCTGGTACCACAACACCTATGGCCAAGAAGCGAAGTGTTGCCGTAAGCCTTGTAACTTCGGAAATGTCTCAAAGTCTGCGGGAAACTATCCCGCCGGCACGCGTTAGCGGCAACCGTCGCCGGTGGCACTAGCCGCCTACTTTACATCCATGATGTGATAAGCCAGACTCGATACTTAGTCGACACAGGCGCCGAAGTCAGCGTCCTTCCTGCTACAGCAGCAGATCGACAGAAGGAACCTACCTTCAACTTACAGGCTGCAAATGGAAAACCAATCGCAACCTTTGGTAGGAAATACGTCTATCTGAACGTAGGTTTACGCAAACCTATTCGGTGGATTTTCCTTCTCGCTGACGTTACAATGCCCATCATTGGCACGGACCTACTTAATCATCATGATTTACTCGTAGACGTCCGCCGAAAACGACTGATTGACAATACTACTAGTCTGTCTATCAAAGGCATCACCTACATAGGCCCTAGTTTGTCACCCGTTAAGATAAAGGCAATTCTTGATCCAACTTTTCAACCTATCGTTGACAAGTATCCGGAACTTAACTGCCCGTCGAACGACCTACCGTGCATAACCAGCAATGTTATGCACCACATCATTACCACAGGACAACCTGTGACATCTAAAGCACGACGATTAGCTCCTGACAAACTGAGAATCGCCAGGAATGAATTTGACCATATGCTTAGCCTTGGCATCATTCGACCTTCGAATAGCCCATGGGCATCCCCACTTCATATGGTTCCGAAAAAGGATAGCAACGATTGGCGACCCACCGGTGATTACCGGCGAGTGAATGCCAAAACAACCCCTGATTGCTACCCGTTGCCTCATATACACGACTTGACGGCAACCTTATCCGGCGCGACTATATTCTCCAAAATCGACTTGGTTAAAGCGTATAACCAAATCCCGATGGCAACAGAAGACATCCCGAAAACGGCTATCATTACGCCTTTCGGACTTTTTGAATTTCTACGTATGCCATTCGGTCTCCGGAATGCAGCCCAAACATTCCAACGCTTCATTGACGAAGTATTTCGCGGTCTCGACTTTGTATACGCATACTTAGACGACTGCCTCATTGCCAGTCCAGACAAGGAAACTCACCTTAGGCACTTGGACTTGGCATTTGACAGGTTACGCCAACATGGTGTTACCATCAATATTCAAAAGTGTCAAATCGGTGTTGACTCACTCGACTTCCTGGGTCACACTATTGACTGCAAGGGCATTCGCCCACTGGCTACTAAGGTTGAGCCTCCTAAGAAAAACCGTTCTGGACGCACCGTAAGGTTCCCAGAACATTTGCACACTTATTTGACTTAACGAAGTCGTGTGATTCACGCAACTCACTCGTTTGTGGTACTAACTATTTTTTTTGACGTATAAATTTTTTTTATATACAGTACCACCGAACACAAAAATTTTTTTTCAACAGTTCATGTAACATACACAAAAAAATTAATTAGATGTATTTTTTTTCGATGTTCTGAACTTAGCATTATTTTACTGTATAGTAAATGCACATAATTTTTTTTAACCAAAAAGGTCATTTCGTACATTTTCCTCGACATGGTTCTTAGCGTTCTTGTTTTCTTTTCCAGGTGCGACGGGCACTGGACGGGAAACAAACGAAGCACGGAATCCAACGAACAACACCAGGAAGCTATGTACAAACACCCTATTAGCATAGGCAGACAAACCAGTAGGCATAAGACCAAGCCGCTCGGAAGATTTTTTTCACCCGAAAGGGAACCATCGAGTTTTTTTTACTTCCGGCTGGTTCTGTCTTAGGGTCCTCACGACCCCACTAGGGGGGAGTGAGCTGTAGCGGTAAATAATTCCCCAAAATTATTGACCACAGCAATCACTCATTGGATGCTGACCACCACTGTTTAAGTCGACTTGTTTAGCTGAAGGCTTCCGGTCAAGCATCCCCGCCATTTGGTACCTGGTCGTGTCACGTGCACGATCACTAGCTAGCTAAGCGTTCGTCTAACGGCTGGTTTTGGTTCCTAAATACATCTCTTCGTTTGGACGACCAATTATTGGCTTTTGCTTTGTCTTTGGTACGCGAGAATAAATTAATTAGAAGTTGTTGAACGAGATATCACGTCAAACCCTTAATATCTCTCAACCTCTAAAAGAGTATTATTTAGTTACAAGATAGAGATATTCCTCAGATTGTTGACACATGCCAGTCGACAGTTGAAAAACAGCACAACTCCTGAAATATCTATATTCCTGTTAAACCCAACAACTCAAGCATTTATAACATTAGTACGTCCGAATACATTACAACTTAAAGTTCTCAAATTTTGACAGATGCGGTCAAGCATAAGTACTTGGTGAAACAAATTTAAAACTGATTTCCACTAATACAGCTTTCGAAAAAGTTAATCTTAGATTTTATTAACTCCAATTTGATAGGATAAGGTAGGTCCCTTCATTTTTTTCAATAATTTAATCACTCCATATTAGTTTGTTTATTAGATGTATCACGTAGTGAAACAGTATTACTTACTGAATGACATTTCGAAAAGTCATCCGTCCGCCCACATGCTTTCATCTCCTCTTCTCATGACCTCCTCCAAGTCACTCTTGGAATACCAACTCGCCGCTTCCCGTTTGGGTTTCAGTTGAGTGATGGCCTGGCGTGTGATGTCACCTGATGGTTTCCTCAGAGTATGACCAATCTACCTCCACTTCTTGCTGCTTATTCGTTGCACAACTGTTTCCTGCTGGGTTGAAAATTATAATTGATATGATTATGAACAACAGTAAATAAATCCAGTAAATAATACTGTTTCACTGTGTGATACATCTAATAAGCAAACTAATATGGAATTACTTAACACCACAGTGCTCAAGTTTTACACATATATTAATTTAATCATTCCCATTGTAAATTTTTTTTTATTTCTTATTTAGCCTTGAAATGGAAACATTTATTTCCTTTTCTCTTTGATCTATAAAAGGTCCATACAAAATCTTATTATACGTCTCAAAGTGAGTGAAGTCAAGGTAACCGGGCAAGGTGAAGCACTAACAATCCAAGAATTCTAGCCAACGCTATGTATCCGAAGAAAGTACGTCCAACCAGTATCTGTACTATGACCAATATAAACAAGCAATTTTCTCAATAATTTTTATCCTATTATGGTTATTATCTGAAATTCTCATTCATTTCTCTTAATTATTACGTTCTCAACCCCCTATGTGTAATACATAATTTCATCTTTTTTATAATTGTACCTTTGATCTCAGATACCTCTGGAACTTTCTCATCCCTTTGTTATGTATTCACGAATATACAGCCTAGCTGATGACTCTGTCGAAGAGAAAATTTCTTCTTTGAGACCCTTTTCTGTTTTTTCCCTATGATCTTATGTGTACACTTTTGTAATCTGTGTAAATTTTCCATATTATTACAACTGTTTTTATTATTTTTACCCTGAACGGTGCTAGGTATGATTTTACTTGTTTTAACTCGTTATATCTTTCCTCGTTGTCCTCAGGAACTGTGCTGATATTTTGTGTTACCCTCTTACTGACATTTTTAATGCTTCCTTTTCCGGTAACCTTCTACCTTTTGCATGGAAAAACATTAAAATTATCCCCATACTGATATTAAACTTCGGCCTATTGCAATTACTTCCCCCTTTTTAAAATTGATGGAAAAATTACTTTTACTTCGTCTTGAGCCTTCATTGGAACCCTTCAATGATCCTAAACGATTTGCATATAAACATAGTAGTAGTACCTTGGATGCTGCGGTAGTCTTATATCATAATGTTGTCTCTTTTTTAGACAAGCGTGCTAAATATGTTCGTGATGCTTTCCTAGACTACACATCTGCTTTTGACTCTGTACCTAGGGGCCTTTTTTTAAATAAGCTATCGTTGACACAAACAGGATCCTGGGCAAAGAGTTGGTTGCATTCTTATTTTTCTGACAGAATCCAGTATACTGTATATAATGGCAAATCTTCTTCTCCTACCTCGCTTACAAAATCCGGTGTTCCACAAGGTGCTGTCCTCTCTCCTTTTCTTTTTTCTTTCTTCCTACATGACCTGCCTCATTCAAACGAAACGAACTTTGTCAAATATGCAGATGATCTGACTGTATCACTGCCTGTCACTTCCGAGTCTGACAGCTCCAAACTTAATAGCTTTCTGTTGGACATCAACAAGTGGTCCAAGTCAAATGGTCTTATATTAAATCCTTCCAAATGTCAGGCACTTGACTTTACTTTCAAGCATCGATGTGACTTACATGAACTAGTTAGCTCGCATGATCCCTGTAGCATAGATGGCACGGAAATTGAAACCAAGTCAAGCATTAAATACCTTGGATTAGTTCTTTCCTCTGACCTTTCATGGTCCACATCCCACATCTTATCAGTCTCTAGGAAGATGTTTCGTCTTACCTTCTACATTAAAAAGTTAAAATAATCAGGTATCAACCAACATTTAGTTCTGCAGTTTGTAAACTCCTGTATTTTACCTATTGTACTCTATTGTTCTCCATTAATCTTTCCTAGGCTTCTCAAAAAGACTATATCATATTACGAAGAGTATTAAATGCTGTGAGTAGAGCTTGTGGTCTGCCACTGCATGAGCTCGTCAATACTATAGTCGAGAGGCATATAAATTCCTCTACAAAATGGGCAAAGGCTATACTGTCAGACCCTCTGCACCCCTTTATTTACACCTATCCCCTAGTATCTCATCAGGTAGGACGAGAAGTCAATATAAAAAGCTATATACTCATACCACTAAGTACAGAAATCCTACAATACCCTATTTAGCTCGTACTTTATATGACGAAGACTCTGAGAGACATGAAACACGTAAGTTACTATGTAATTAACTCAGAGAATCGACCCTTTCATTGTTCATCTTTCTGTATTTTATGGTGTCACACTATCTATCGTTTAATTATAACTTCGCTACTTTATTTTAGTTGTTATTACTACAATTTTATACTTTATGCATATTTTTCTCCGTACTGCATACAGTAATTTCCTACATAACTGCTACAATAACGTTTTGTTATTATTATGTAATGTTCATTTTTTGTCGTTTTTGATTCAATTAGATGCAATATTGTACTGAATGCTGAAAATTCTTTGCTGTATCATTAGTACTTGTTTTTGGAATAAAGCAAAAATTATTATCAAACTTCTCATCGTGTTACCTGATGTTTTTCTCTGCCTGTTAACCATATTAATTTTATTAGGTCTCTACATTCCATGAACCATTTTACATAGTATGCAGCCTATGTTATTGCTTGATATCAAACTATGATTATGATAACAAATACATTTTGATCACTATTGATTCTCTTATGATCAGGATTTACACCTTCTGTTTCAATCTCCTCACGAGTTATATTTCCCTAAAAGCCATGCACTGCACGGCTTGGTAGTAAATTCTTTGAAAAGAGTTTCTTCTCTGAATTTTTTATTCTCACTGTTACAATGGGGATCATTATATCATTGGAAAACATATTGCTTTTGGTTGTTTTGTCTTTCTTTTCGAAAATATCACGAATACTAAGGAAGGAATCTGAAATCAGCCAATCCTATCGTCACTAACAAGTTTCTTTGTTAGGTGATATGTTGAATCGTTTGTATTGACCTTGATTATTATTTGTTTGTTATCTAATCTGATGTATTTTCCAGATTAGCCTTTTCCATATTTTCCAGTGAAATAAAAAAACAAAACCAAATGAAGAATATCTTTCAAAAGCTGTTTGCAAGTAAAATATTTTAAATTAACATTTTGAGGGTGTGCATGATTAGTGATACTAATGCTATAAATAAGAGTAATATCAGTGATTTTTGACAGTTTCCTGTCTGATATCAGTGGGTGACGAAAACTGTCTGATAACTAGACCAGTTTTGTTTTTTGAGACGGGAGAAGTGGATATTCGATGAGTTGATTTCACGTGTTCCAGTTCAGTTTTGCTATTGATTCATCCTGGTTCTTTTGTAGGTTTTATTTTTGGTCAGCTACACTGACCGGAAATTTAACAAGCCAGTCACGTAAATGCACAATTTTCTGGCTAACTTGACATCTACGTTTAAATGCATCGCCATTTCATTTGTTCTTATTTCATCCCACATCTCAGCCTTTATGAAAATAATTCTTAAACATTGTACGCTCCTCCATCATATTTTTCTGTTTTTCTCTTGAGGTCTGCTGTAATGATTTACCCGCACTCACCTCTGGGCCTATCAGAAATAGCCCTGAATGATGAAACAATCGTCTTTTTCAGTTCTTAAGGTTAGTTAGTTTATTTATAGTATCTCCGATAATTTATTGATATGATTGATGTTTCTCTAAACAATAAAACTACTTTCAACATGTTTGGAATAGACTAATGTTTAACGGATGGAATGATCAAAATTTTTTATCGATCAATCAACAAGTCTTAAGCAGTGGGCCTATCTAACACATAACATAAGCCGATATCTAACACAAAATTATGCTTCATCTGAGCTCAGTCATTTCAGCCAATTGTGTTTCTCATAGAGATACATTTTTCAGTACCATGAGGAAATAATTTTGTTTGGAAAGTCTCTTCTGAAAGATACAATTACAATATTCATTGTTATTTGAATGTCTCAACTAACTTTTCAGCGATTATCTGTTCTTTTCCTAGACTGCATATCATTGTCTTGACATTTGCAAATCATCTGTAGACTTGATCCTTATCATTTGTGTATGTTATTGTTTATTCTTCAGTTTTAGTGCTTAATAATAATAATAATGATTTACTTTATTCCAAAAACAGTACTTGTGATA